CGAAAGGCAGTGAAGCGATTTTCAATAAATAGTATTTGTTTCTGTTCTCAAATCTCAAAATATAAAAATCAACCTACGTAAAGGTCCAAAAGGTCCAGACACCATGAAATTGGCAAAAGTTAAGAATAGGTCAATACATCAGACAACGGAGACTCATCAGCGGTGAGCCAAGCGTTCTCGAAATTTTTGCATAAACTCATAAGCCACCACAGTCTATAGCCAGATTCTCGAAGGGTTGAGCGCAGATCAAAAAATTCATCTCTGTTTGATGCGTCCTTTGTTGTGAAGCACGCGTGAGTGTGCGTAGTCCACCGCTAACTTGAATAGGGTGAAAGAATGATTGCTACAGTACACGGTGCATTAGAAAATACGGTAAATGGTATGTTATTTAGTAAAATAAAAAAAATGGCTTCTTGTAGTTCGAACCGTCACTTATCTGCTTATTTAAATTTTCATGATAACGTGTGAACCCTACCTTTTTACCTCGAAACCAATAAGGTTCGTCGCTATGAAACAGATGAAAGATTAAGTCCTTAATTTGTTCTGGAAATTATAAGAACTTTATAAGGACTCACGATATCATGGATAGTATGATTGGATGAGAATGAGTGGCCGTTTCTAGACATTTGCGTACCAAGAAATGCAGACGCTTCAAACGTTTTGCCATTACTTTTGCAGGAGGTTCTTTAAAGTTTGTCGCCATATCATGAGCACCAGTTGAATTCTCGGATGAGAAATTCTAAGCGTAAGATTACTCAGCCCCTCAACAATTGCTAGGCTGTGAGTTGGTCGTTCGTGGTCCACTGTATCGGAAGGCGATATAACGTTTTCCTGCCCTTGTATATGTACATTAGCATGCCATTCGCAGGTGGTCAAACAAGTAGTTTTCATGTACTAGGATGAGAACGATGCGAGTTCATGGAAAGTCTACCGAATGGGAGTGCAACTACCGTGGGCAAACCACGTGGAATAGGAAATTTATAAAGGTCATAGTCTATCACGACACTTCGTGGTGTGGAGAAAACCAAAAGTAGTTACATAAGATAGCTATGAAAAACACTTTTGAGCATGACCGAGCGGTTAAGAACTTTGACTTCAGGTGCAAGCCGAGGGTTCGATGGTATTCCGTGCAATAAACGACAACAAAGATTGACACTAAACTGAGGTTATCTGAATCTTGCGTTTTCCATACCAGAAACCTCAAACTCTGTAACCGATGCCCACACTCAGAGCGTAATGAGGAACCGGTATTCGATCCACCTACTGCGTAAGGGACCACAATCATTTGCTGTGTCCAACAGTTTATATCATGTGACCATTCCTGCAGAAAGAAGGAAATTCTAAGCTTTCTATACTGGCGTGAAGTGCACTAGTAATCGTCCTTTCGATCGGCCTATTCTCTTCTACCATAGTATGTATTATCGCCTATTGAACCGCCATTCCGCACACCACCGACTCCATATTTAAATCCGCAGTTGAATCGCCTACTGCGGTTGCTAGCCTCGTTCCTAGCCACGTGTTCGTCTTTGCCGATAAATCGGCTTATTTTACTATCTCGCGACTATCGCCTTCTTCTGTGGAATCGTGCGGCTTGTGGTACCAGTGGGGCTGGGGATTTTGATGGGAATTTTGGTCGAGATCTTCGAGCATTCGAAGCGGTTCAGCATCTTGCCTCGAGCTAGAGAGAACATATGTTCGATGTTCCCCGCTCTGCTTTTTTTTGCTTGCCTGTTTTAAGTAAATTTGCGGTAAGTTGTTGATGACGAACGGTATATCAGCCGAAAGAAATGACGATCATTAGTTTTCTTCTTTTAGCCGGAGTGGTCACATTATATATTCTGTTGGGGTACAGCAAAACAGTGTGATTCCTTCCACAGTAGGTGCAGCGAATAGCGCTTTCCTTATTACGCTCTGAATGTGGACATCGGATACAGGGTTTGAGGTTGCTGGCTCGGAAAATGCAAGGTCTAGATGACGGCAACATCTCTCAGTTGAGTGGCAATTTTCGTTGTCGTTTATTGCACAGAACAGTTGGACTACAGTTTACACAGTTGGACTGCGGTTTTCCAAAAGCAGTTCCACTTTTTGGTTGAAAATTTGTGCTCGTCGACTTAGTATGTCCGCAGGAAAATCTGTCTTAGCAGAAAATGTCACAGCGAATGCGTTGAGCTGCTCTTAAAAGTCCGTTGACAGCATCAACAAAGTTTCAATGCACAGAGCGACGTCCACTTCGTCCATCATGGTCCACTGAAGTCGTGATCACGAAACTGCAATCTTGCCACAGATGTTATCAAAAACGAAGAGTCCAGAGCCAATTTTCCGCTAGTCCACTTGAACTATACATTGCACTATGATTAGATCTATAGATACTACGGCTAGTGAGCAAAAGGCGCTGGATTTTGATCGAGGACGGGCATCGCACGTTCTAGATTTAGTTTACTACCTAGAAGTTTTGTGTTGTGTCGTCGAACAGCGGTGAGGTGAAGATTTATTGAAGCGAACTGTAGAATAAATACTAGTAAAAACAGGGCCTTTAATAAGGTAGAAAAGGGGCGGTGCGATCAGTGGTCATACTCTGATGTAAGCCCTCCATGATCACCTACAGGGCGCTTGACCCGCGACGCGAGATCAAGGCAGGGTCAAAGCCAGGGATCCAACATTTTGGATTAAGCCTCAATTAGGAGTATGAGGAGACCTTCGCTAATGGCATGGTTTTAAGGGGGGTCACAAGCTGCAATTAGGAGCGAGACTGCTAATTTGGCCTAGAGTTCTATGTATGCGAAGAAAGTTTGGAGTATGCAGAGTATTACCACTGGATCAAGAATATATGCTGTTGCGCCGAGAGGCGCGGTCATGCCAAATACGGCAAAAGCAACTTTCCAGAGAGCTAATGCAGTCACTGCAANTACCGTGGAGCTGTAATCCCTAATGTTCTCATTGCACCTAGTGCGACATTCCTGAGCAGTAATCGCGTAAGGGTAGTAGAGAAGAATTAGTGTTGATTTGTTTGAAGAATCACATTCGACTGAAAAGGAATGACCGTCGCAATAAACGATAACCCGGAATTCTTGTATCGATAGGCATTGAACACGCCTACTTCCAGAAAGCCATAACACCCAGTGAGCTGCCCTGAGATAACCTCGCTTGCTTAACGCGCTATATACTCTGCACTTGCTTTCACGAGATTCGATGAGGACTGCTATTTCTTTTCTCGTGGAGTGCATGATGTTCAATTCATTCCACCAGTGATTCTCACGATTAGAGTCAAAATCATGAGTACTTTGGATACGTTCTTTCTTATCTGCCTCATATGTATAAACTGTTGGGCAGTCACATCAGATGGGCGCGTTTCTCACGTCACAGTCACGAATTATTCGGTTTTGGCCCTGAAAAGCTGCTTGCAACCGCAGTTTTGGAGCTGAAAGAACATTCCAGGGGAAGTTTGCGTTCTTTCGACACAGAAAAAAGTTCGCTGCTTGTGCGCAAACAGGCTGTGCAAAGTGTGACTCGAAGGATTGACAAGACATATATATATATATCACTGTTATAGAAATGTCATCTATGTTGGAAGAGCGTTGCCGTACATGTCGTGTAACGTTTTGGTCATCCACTCGTAATTCTGCGCGATCAATTGGACGCCTTAATTGGCTTGTCTGAGGATGCCTTGTATTGTTCGCCGTAAAGGCTTTCTTTGAGTACGAGCAATTTGTCATTTGTGTTGAGCACCGGCTTGACGAACTGTTCATAGATTGCCTGCCAATCTGAAAATCCTTCTCCTTTCTCAATGAACACTGATACATTTGCTCTCGATGCAGCGATTGAATGGGTCGTGAAAATGGTTGTCTAAACGCTTTACTTTCACAGTTCGAGTTTTGCAGCCCTGTGTGGATATCATTTGCGATATGGCGTATGGCACTGTTCTTTCATAAATTCTTGCGCTCAAGCCGTCTTTTTCCATCATTGATGGCCACGGTTAGACGTGTTCTCAACATTAAGTGTAGATCGGCCGCTTTTTTTATTACGTCATTGAAGTTAGTTTCTTCTCCTGTCCTCTCGATTTCCTGAAGTAGGAACTTCTTCCTTCTCGCTCTTCCTGTTGTCGTAGCTTGCCTTCATTTTCTCGATTACGTTGGTAAGCCTGCTTTTGCAATATTATTCGCAATATTTCCTCACACTGAACTCGATAGAATCGCCCGAGTAAGTCTGCTCTGCCTCGTAAGGTGAAAATTCCGAAAAGCGACCTCATCGTCAGCGTCGAAACGTCGTGCATTAACGGTTCATTGCGCCTCATCAGTTCTGTAGTGTACCTCACTTGTTCCCCACAGTGGATGCAGAACCTTAGCAGGCATATTCCCAGGTGTCGCACCTCTATAGTCATGTTCTTTTCTCTTCTAAAGGTGCTGAATCTTCACGGGTCTCTTGTCTTCACGTCTCGTGTGGGTAAAGACCTCCCGTTGGTACTAAGGTACCTTGCTTTTGTCGATGCAGCACAACTGTCTCGTTTGTTCAGTGCAAGTGGTTTATTATGCATGCAATTCAAAATGGTGTCATTACACCTTCTGACCTTAGTTACGTGGATTAACATGACAGATTTAACAACGTTCACATGACATATGGTCAAACAAAAAGTGTCCGAGTAAAAGAATAAGGATGAAGCGAAGTCATGGAACGTCTAGCGAATTAGAATATAATACTGTAAGCAAACTATTAAAACAGGAAATTCAAAAAAGTCGTGGACTACCACAGAAGGCTGCTTACTTTTCTCTGTCTTGCTCGCCTATGTTGTTGCACTACCGGTTGTTGAGATTAAAACGTCGAACTAGAACCCCAACTCCCCTCCATAAGTTTTCGACCAGGTTGCTTATGTTGAGCGTTTTACTGGCCTAACGCTGGCACACTGGAGCCATTTGCGAGGGGAATTCAGCACTGCCTTGCTGCAAAACATGATCCCGCGTCGAGCTTCATTCAGGAGCTGCAAAAGACAATTTGGGCACTTCTCGCTACACTGACTCCTTATAGCAAGATGCAATGGTTGCTGTTAGTAACCATTGCAGTGTTAGTTTCATGCTTACAAAGCCACGCCAGAGCACTGATGGACTTCCGAGATCTCTTTGAGAACGGCAGAGGAACGCGTTGAAGGTGCCTCCATTAGTGACGTATCTATCCTTCACAAGTGGCCCATCAGAGTTGAGGTTCTTCTCATCAGGAGAGATGATAACAAGTAGAAAATGTGTATGAGATTTCGCTTTTCTATCATCGGACATCCTTCAAAAAGCTGCACGTATGCGGGCTTTGACACAGATTTATGAGTTAGGCCTTTATTGCCTGACTAACGTAAGATAAGCACGATCGCACTGTAGCATAGGTTGTGGAGCAAAGGCAAGCCTCTGCCTGCCTTCAACATAGACAAAACTATGAGGTAGCGGCTGCGGAGTCTGCCACGACATTCCCCGGCCGCGAAAATTTTTTCAGATAATGCGTAGCGATATGAGAAATACAACATATTTAAAATGACAAATAAACATGAAACGAATATTCGGAGCATGCGTGAGATGAATGGGATCAGCTAAATAATGTTCACTTAAAACTGGCTTTTCGTTGATTCACTCGCGCGCTAGCAAATCGGAGGATGGCACCTACCCACCCCTAACTTTTCTTGTGTAAGATGAGGCTGTGCTTGGGATGAATACGGCGTTATGCTAATGAACAGAATGAGATATACGCTGGCAGAGGGTTCTCACCGCCGAGCAAGAAGTGATTTTCAAGAGCGCGAGTGATTTCTGTGTGGGTATGGTGTGTACTGTAACTTTGCGCTTACATGATTTCTCTATATGATCGGTTAAGTTCCCGTGATTGGACAGATAAATGGGTGATTTCATGGCAGTTTGGCATAGACAAAATAAACTTGTGAAACATGAATATATGCACTAACTCAAAAATTAACTCGTTATCGATTAGTTCGATGACGTTTCGGCGGCGGTGCAGATGTGGGTTTTGCGTTGCAGATGCTGTCCGTCGCAGTTGCGGCGTTTTCCCAGACTGATGCCATGTGCAGGTGCTGGACAGGACGTGTGTAGATCTCTCAGACGAACTAAGCGAAACACAATATCAGGGGATAGGATGCAGCACGAAAATAGATGCTCGGCACTGTCGCAGAATAAGCATGAAAGTTTAGCAGGGTTTGTGAACAGGGTATCGACCTTGGTTTCGAGAGAAGCCAAGCCACCCTAGATAGATTGTATTGTAGAGGCATGTTCATAGTGATTTGAATTGGCGCTTGGAAGGGGTCGAAATGACATGTTGTGCGAGGCCCAGTACAGCTGCGTTGCTGTTTTCGGGCGCGCTCTCAAAAGCGCCAGCTGCGTGGAGGGCGTGCACGGATCGCCCGTCATGAGGTATGAATAGCACGTGTTACAAAAAGGGGAAGACTGTTTTCGCCAAAAAAATGGAACATTCCAAGCATGCCAAGTGAGTGAAAAGAGGCCTGTCTAGTCACGAGTTCTATTGGCCGTCATTTCAGGAACGTTTGCGCGTATGCTATCAAGGCATTTGAAGAGCCAGTTAAGTACAAATGTTGCTATCGCTATGATTGTTTTTACGATTGCAGCAATCGCAATATGTCCAAAAAGGTAGATCAAGAATCCGATAAGACCTGTAAATGATGCTATTGCTAGGGTGCTCTTCCAGTGTGTGAGGAGGGTGTGCATAAGAGGACGCAGGTCCTAGATGGAGATGTCACTTCACCAGCTGTCGTTCGCGTTAGTGTTTTGGCGAGGTTGAGCATTTCTTCGACCTTTACTGTATTGTGGTAGAAGAGGAAACCTGTTAGGGGAATTGTCTGGTGTTTTCCTGCACAACGGAATGAGCATATGTCATCTACGTGTGCGCGATTGTAATCTGGGCATATGAGTAACTTTCTGATGTTAATGAGGAAAATTTAGGGTTCTAAACTCCTGACAAAACATCTTTGTGAAAACATGAGACTAACAAACATATGCAGAACTCGAAGTGTCAACAGAACTCTGGTATGCTGTGAGTGGAACCCGAAACATAAGAAGTTATATATGGGGTGAGCTAGACTTGACTGTAGTGTGAACAAGACAAGTACCGTGAACCAGACTCGAGTGCTCATGAGCAGAAATTTGCGGAGAATATGGCATGTAGAAAGCTCGGATACACGTAGTTTGAACTCGAGCCCGAACAGTAAAATGTTATGACGTGCAATATATTACGACCAACCACTAACAGCGAATGATAACAGTAGAGGCAGACATTTCTGCCATGCCAGGAGGACGACTATCTCCCTTGGAGCAGTTTCAGGCATCGGGATTGGGGATTCAAAGGAACCGTGAGCAATTGCGTAATATGCGCGTCCACTGGGATCCAAGAACTCTATTGCGGTAACACTGCGCGTCGACGGAGATCATATTGCTGTATCGTGAGCACAAAGACCTAGGGAATTCAAAAGCCCCTCAGTCAGCAACCTCATCAAGTATGGCTCAGCGATAAGGGAGGCAAGTGTGTGATACTGCCTCATAAACTGGATCGGGCTATAACGCATCTGCGTCTGCAGGACGGATGCAGATGCGTCATGCGTGAGAACATTTCGCAGCCGCCCCCCTTAGGGAAATCCAACAAGCAATAGCTACAGCTCAATAGACACAGTGCCTTCCCCATTCAGTCGAATAGTCAGGCCCGACGAAATCGGCGAAGGAATAGACATATTTCTTCGTCGATTTCGTGCAGCATGGCGTCTACGTGTGTGGAGTATACGCGGACGCTATACTTCACGCAACCCATAATACACTTAAAATTCTTAACAATCGCCGTGAATCACTGTATTCGCTGCCTACTGGAATGAAAACCGATCTTACTAATTTGATGGGACGCAAGACTTCCAGATCGTCTCGTATTTTCTACACAGTAGCCGACAATGTCGACCACACAAGACGATGCCATCGGTACTCAGATCCGGTAAGAAGAGCAGTGCGAGTGACGGGGGTTCGTCTTTGCAGTTGGTGCCTCCACACCGACCACTGTGCCGCAGTATGCTGCACAGTTTCTTGCAGCATCTGCCGTGCGGCAACACTGTTCATTGTTTTGGCACCTTACTAAAGATGTGCAAGAACTGATTCTGTAGTGGTGCGAACCTCCTTCCCCCCNCCCCCCCCCCCCCCCCCCCCTCCCCCCACCCACCACAATTACTCTGTTTTTGTCGCATACCTACTCAAATCCTATGCCGACTCTCGTCTTCTCCCTAATCCATCGCTAATCAAAATTCCTACAACTCTTCGATTTCTTCTTGGTACCAACCGACGTCAAGCCGAGGAATTCAGCACATTGGTCGAAACAAGTGATACCTATTTTTGTGTTCTTGTCATGGTATCTCGTTTATCATTGAGTGGATCCGCACGCCGGTGAAATGTTGCGTACTCGCCCATGTGCGTGTTTTATTTCGCATGGTTAAGGACGCGACCCAAGCCCCACCCCACTCTGCAAGACATCGTGATGCCGCATACACTATTTTACCGAAGGTTTCTCGACAGCTGCCCTTTCTACTATGTTTATAATACACTTTCGCTGAAATAACTGCTTCATTGCTCTCAAATCGACAGCTTTCGAAAATTGTTGACGATCCCCCTGTTACATCTTTGCGCGCATCTGGTAAATACTTTTTCGATATTGCTTTGTCAGGAGAGGAGTCAATGGATCAATGTTTTGATCTACGATTATCGGTGATCTATTGCAGGTTTGCGCGGGAAAAGATTGCCGAGCGGAACAAACGCTTCAATAGTCAGTCGCCGTTTCTTAATGCCGTCCGAAAGCCCACCGCTACTCCCCTAGAAGGTCTAGGGGGGGGGGATAAGCCCCCTAGACCCCCTCCCAACCCATCTATTCGCCTTACTTGCGCTTACCTTCGANAATCGTTAAGTTGTAGGTAACCACGCATAAAGGAATTGCATAGCGAAAGCTTGGTTGTGTTCGTTCGAATCGGTGTATAGCACGAGAAGTATTTGGTCGTACGTCCTAACAAGAACAGGTCGCACTGACTTGGGGGCCAAGCGGTGACGGAAAATCGGAAGAAGTTTTTCGGACAAGGAAATCACTTTACACGTGGTACGACCATGGTTAGATAGCTTGAGTTCCATGGACGTAAATCTCGCCGTTGGAATGGCACTATGAACGCACAATTCCGAGGCAAATATCCGCATGAGAGGTCATGCGGCTTCAAAAGTCTCAGTCGTTCTCAGCACCACAACTCCATTCAAGAATGTCAAATTTTTCGAGAAAAACGCCCCACCAGAGGAATGGAATAATTTAATCTGATGACTCGGGAGTGACCCCTACGATTATTTATATAATCGCACCTTTCAAGATTCGTCTCTGGTAGAAAAAACTACGTAAATTCTGGATGCCTCACTGGCCGGAACCAATCACTGAGACAGGCGAAAAGAACGTCAGTCGCAAAAGAGGCGCCGACTGCTCGAAAGAAATATGCCCAAACGTGGACGATTTTGGTACCGTGGTTGATGTGAAGCACAGTCAATACGAGTGAAGAGACCACTCTTTTTAAACCCCTGGGATGCCAGGAGGGGAGTCAATGAATCAATGTTTCGTCTAAGATTATCAGTGATCTATTGCAGAATTTTCGCGGGAAAAGATTGCCGAGCGGAAAAAACGCTTCAATAGGGTCAGTCGCCGTTTCGTAATGCCGTCCGGAAGCCCACCGCTATTCCCCTAAGAGGAGAAGTCTACCAGCAGATTCGCCCTCGCCTCCCGGAGGGGGTCTAGGGGGAGGGGGGATTCACTCCCCTAGACCCCCTACCAACCCATCTATTCGCCTTACTTGCGCTTATCTTCGATATCGTCGATCATTTGTTGTCTCGCCAATTTTTTGTCATTGGTTACGTTGTTTCTTTTTTATTTGAATCTCTCTATATCACCTCCGCATCCTCACCTCATTGCTTTTATTATGTGTTACCATTCTCCTCCGGTTTTGTTTTGTCGCCGGTCGCCCTAAATCGTTACGTTGTAGGTAACCACGCATAAAAGAATTGCCTAACGAAAGCTTGGTTGTGATCGTTCGAATCGGTGTATAGCACGAGAAGTATTTGGTCGTACATCCTAACAAGGGCAGGTCGTACCGACTGCTTGCCGTTTCGACATTTCTCGCACAACCGCCTATTGGATCGCGGAAACTTCTGCAACGACCTTGAATCGACTGTCTTTTCTCATTTACGATCTCTGAAGTTAACCTCGATTG